TCAATGACTTGCACGTGCAAAGCCGATTTAAGAGAACGTTGCAAACACATTATTGCAACTTTGTTGTATTGCAGCAGGTAGGTTCTTAACCTCAAAATACTTATATCGTATCATTAGAATTGTGTTAAATCAATTACACAGGAATAAATAATTTCTCACTTTATAATTTTAGTATGATTCTAGTTTTAAATATTAAGGTTATGGCTGATGGTAAATACTTGCTGAAATATAATCATGTGCATTAAAATGACGTGAACAAATTTTTATTCCGGAATTCACTTCTTTGATACCTACTGCTTTCATCCAAGCTTCTATTAGTTTACTTTTTTCTCTAATTTTCCGAATATATTTTTTACATATATAAAACGGTTAGTTTTTATTGGAAAGTAGTTAATGTAAGTGAAGAGTGAAGATCTATGTCTGAAGTGCTATTGCAGCTTTTTCACGGAACATATTAACTTTTTATTTGATTTAACTTTAGAAGAAAACTTCGTCGACTCCATCATGAAAAATTTTTTTACTTTTTTAACGTGTTTTATTATTTTAATAAACTATTTTACAATTTGCGTGCACAGTTCCTAATGTAAATTTTTCCCTCATTCGAGTTATAAATTTTGCTACCAGATGGTGTATGCCCATTTGACGGATCCCAATTGAATTAATATTTTTGGATTTAGATTGAGAAGCTCAAATGTTTAGTAGATAAGTACATGTTTCCCCAATTTTACGGCCTACCCTGAAAATAACCATTTTAAAGCATCGCATGTACCTACAGCTGGGTCCCATCTTTAACATTAAACATGGGCCATATTTGGCATTTGTTCAAATTTCTGAGAAATCCCGCACCAGTATAATGTGAAAGTAGCAAAAGCTGAAGTTCGAAGACCTAAGAAAGAATATTCGGCCGAATTATCCTGATCTTTGCAAGATCGAATCAAAGGATATTCGGTCTAATTACTCTGATCTCTGCATGATTGAATCATATGAAAATATTGAAGCGATAACTGACATTTTAAATGCTTCTCATAATGGTAAATATGGAAGAGAAGCATTCAAATTGTTGCTATTGTTCATCTAAACGAACCCGAAATTCCGAGCCAATGAAAAGTTTAGAAACATTTCAATCTGGAGGACGAGGGGCAGCTCATACCCATGAGCTCACGACCCAGAAAGATTTAACCAACTTATTTCATCCCTACAAATTAGATTCGAAAGTGATTCAGCCCATTTTTTACCAACTAGGTAGTCACTGAATGGTGCTCAATGATCCACTGCGCAGCAAGATAGTGCACTTCCGACTTAACGCGTGACACGTGTTTGACAACTGATATGTAATACCAAAATTGATGCCATCGTTGTTTGTTCTTACAACGAATTATTTCGGTTTCTATCGTCTATTAGTCACGATGCTCTTTAGATTCATTCGCTGGGTTATCGTTGCTATCTCAAGTCTTCTCGGGTAATATCCTTAATATCGAAAACTGTAAGTTCTTCCCTTTGATTAGACGTTTTAGTTCCAGGAAGTTGTACTGTTATAGAGGCAAACGCGCACATTTTTGTATTTTAGACCGTATATCACAAGCAGCAACATGTAACTACGTTTTGTCAGTTGTAAAATTGCCACCTCTAGTAGTTTAGTGGTCAGCGCATTGACGCAGATTGGATTCGCAGGGAGGATGCGACAGGACTAAAGAGTTTTCCTCATTAATTTGATATAATCTGTAGGGGGTTGAATATTAATTCATGATAATGTTAATCCCCGGTACACAGACGGATAACTTTTTAGAAATTCATTAAATTTTTGTGTCGTATGTGTAATTCCTTTTTTTACTTTAGGAATTACCTGACAATTTAGTTTACCACATCCATGTACTGTCGTTTGTTTTACAGCGTTGCATAAGGCGCACATAATTTTTAATTTAATTAATATATTCCTTAGAATACTACAGGGAAAATATTTCCCATTGTAATGCGAACCTGTTTTGTGCCACCCTTCCGAAACGCGTTCCTACTAACCTTTGCATGGAATACACAAAGGTTCATTGGGGGAAAAAGTTCACTTGAGGGTATACTGAAATGTACGGGGTCGACTTGCACCTTATGATACGTGACAATCAGCGTTAATGCGATACCTCTACGCGTTTTACTGCGTGTCGTTGTATAATTGCCCAAAATGAAAATGAAACAAGTCGGATGTTATGCAGTAAAACATATTCTGACATTGGAGACGTTGTTTATGTCTGCTTACTGTTACGCACTGCGCTGAAGAATGCGTCAGAGTTTTCTTAGATGTCATTATCAGAAGGTTTTCAGTCCTAAGGTATGATGGACATACACCTCAACTTCTTCCTGTCTTGGGTCAACTTTCGTAAGCTGAGCAACCTACATTTTTATAATAGAGGCATTGAAAATTGGGATAGTTCGCAATAAAACAGTCGCAATTACTTTTTTCTTTCAACCTCGAAAAAGGTTGTTAAAGGTGTATGTTTGGAGCACGGCATTGTACGAGTGTAAAACATGGACAGTGGCCGCGGCGGAAAAGAAAAGGTTAGGCATTCAGGAGGACACTGATTTGATTCCGGATCGGTCTGCTCTAATCTAAGTTTTTCACTAATTTCCTTGGATCACATAAACAAATGCCAGGATTACTATTTTCTATTGATAACCATTTACTCTCTTCTGTCTTCACTTCGTCCGTCTCATCTTTATTACCCCAACCACTACCCTGTCATTCTTAGTATTCTCAAAAGGGGCTGAAAAGAACCTCTGCTTCCAGCGTAGTTAGAAGGGGCTGTCCGTTCATCAGCACTGGTAGCCACTAAGAATGAAATACCTAAAGTTTATAATCTAATCTAGGCCTACCTCTACCCCTTCAACTTCCAAGATGTCTCTAACTAGTTCTTCATGTATGAGCAGGTGTCCTACCAATCTATTTCGCTTAAGAAAAACTAGACTAATGACTTTAATTAGACCACCTGATTAATCTAATTCGGTTAATACCTTTATCAATTATTTATTATTAAGTAGGCATGTAGATTTCCGTGAGAACTGAAGAATCCTTAGACAAACTTTTAATAGGCTTTCACTGTTGTAGGGAACGATTTAGAAAACATTACGAGAAGTGAAAATATGTACATTACTAGCCAGAATCTCAGAATTCTTGTCATTTTCTTTCCTATTCAGTAGTATCGTTCTTCATTTTCTTTTGGTCTTTTAAAAATTTGCTTTCTCATTCACGTGCTATTTTCTTTTAGGTCTATTCTATGTCCTTTAATGCGGGCAAATCGAAATACGTGCGTTTTTGTCTCGTGTGTGTACGGTGTCGCCGTCTCCGACAGGCACCGCGACGTCCGCCGTCGCACTCGACGCCAACCCCACGTCGACCGACGCCACTATAGGCGACGGCGATGCCGACGTTACGTATCGATCATCATCCCTCGCCGAACGAGCGGGCGAGTAATACGGCTCACCTGTGTAGTTAATTTAAAGATAGTTAATATTTCGGCAGGTAGCAGAAGGCTTGGCTGGCAGCGTCAGCGGCGGCGGCATCGACGCGAAAGCGACGCTAGCGTCGAAGTTAGTGGCAGCGACGTCGCAGTTGGCGACGCCGAATGTAGGTGAGCACGCGTGCGTGCTAGGGCAGGTGTGGCGATGTTGCCGGTCTTATAACGCGGAAGTTGCGACAGGTGCGAAACTGAGGAACAATGGATTGGGGTTGCTTTACGGAGTTTAGGGGTAGGAATTATAAGGAATAACGGACAAATGGAATTTGTAGTTTTCTACCTCCGAGACCGCTTTTCAACTGTTTTTTTATGTTGAAAAAGAGGCCTATCTGGTTCAAGAGATTTTGGGGTCTCAATATTTATAAGGATATTACAATTCACTGATAAACTGTTGTGATCAAATATGATTCTCTTTGTTCAGGTATACCTAATAATATTAACAGTACCTCAGATGGATTAGTTTTCACAAAAATTTAAGGAATTATGAATTTGGGGATATACATTTGGCAAATACACTGTTACTAGAAAACTCATGGAATAAGATTCTTCTAAAATGACAAGAATCTTACTGATAAACGCCAGAATAATGCGAAACGTTCCATGGTATGCATACTTCTGAAGCAGCTGTGTTGAAATGAACTAAAAGTGGTATTCAAATTGAACATTTTGAAAAATTTTAAATAGATACATATCTACATGTTCAAAAAGAAATAATAATGACAGCAGTGAATTGTATTGTTTCTAATTGAAGCTTCAGAATAACGGCTAAAACAGAGGTTCTCAATCTTATTTCGTCTATTACCTACCTTGAGGATCAATTATTTCCAGAGCCCTCCGAAATTACTCGAATTTAAATATTAGTCCCCTATTCTCCTACAGTATAAACTTTAGGCTCTTTTCTACGCCATTCTAAGAATCCAGCGCCCTCAGGGGGACTAAAATGTTATTCATGTTGTCTAATGTTTGGTGGTAAGAAATAGCAGTTTTTCTTGGGGATTTTTGGTTTTAAAAAACCTCTCTTACAACATAAAGGAAGCTCAGGATAAGAAAAAGTGGAGGTGCATGTTCAACCGGTCTTAGGGTTGGGGACCTTATGATGATGACAACATCGAGGTTGTTCTTGTAAATACGAATATTATGTGTTTTCATATCTGTAAATTTCGAAACCAGTATTATGGAAAAGCTAAAACCCAAAAACTGATTTTATGTGGGCTTTTGTATAAACCTTAGTTTTTCCGCGTTGGCAACAGAGTCGACATCCTTGTTGTCCTGTGGACGGGTCCGCGCAGGCTGCGTACAGTACGAGTCGAACACTCCACGACGTCGCCACTACCACCTCCACCGCCGCCAAGTTGGCTCGCTGTTGCCATCGTAGCAGTCGCCACCGCCCCCGGCGTCGCACCCCCAACACATACACACCTGAGCGTCCCACTCCCACCGCGCGACGCCACCACCACCACCACCACTACCACTATCACAGTACAAATACACACACATACTCGAACACGCTCTCGCTCGCTTATTACCACCTCCACAACCACACGCATCATTCGCTGGCATCACGACAATTTCCACAACAACCAGCAGTGACTATTACAACTTAGTCGGCATCCAACATCGACGTTCACGACGTACAATCGCCGGTGTCAGTCGAGCAGCGACCGTTCTAGCAATCGGAATACGTCGAGTCCACCAGGTCGTCAGTACTCAACCTGCCGCGTTTGTTGAGACCTGGTGTTGTAGCAAAATCCGTTGAAGACGACGTCCACGATCGCGAGTGTTGATGTGTTTGTTGTGGCGTAATTCGTCTTAGTTGGGACTTGTGCCGCGAACCGTGGAGGTCCCGCCGTCAGGAAGTGGTAAGAGAGGCCGGCAGCTGCAGCACCACCCTCTGGGAGGAGGCAGCTCGTCGTCCCCAGGTGTCGCGCACCACCAGGCGGCCCCAACGCTGAAGCGGGCGCGTCACGACGAAGACGACGACCACGTATCGGCCGTCGGTCCACGTCTTTTGTCCGAACAGGATAATAATATTATGGAAGCACCCTTGTCGGTCACGTTGAGTCAAAGTATGGATTCAGTAAATAACGGAACTCCTGAGGAAGAGGTGAGTCCTTCCGGCAACTACGATCAAACAGTCACTTGCATTCGATTTTTATAATTTTTATTAATGATCTACCTACCGTTGGGTTAGTTTCCCAAATTGCAGTTTCGATATGCGAACTAATAAGGTTTTAGAAGTCCTGAGCACAAAGGTTCTAAGGATTCTAGAAGGAAAGGATTTATGATAAATTGAATACTGTTCATGTGAATACTCATGAGGAGTGGAATTGAAGGAATCTTTCCGATGTCTTGATTCAAGCTCAATACTTATTTACTAACAGGGATAGGAATTGATAAGATGTTTCCGATGTCTCGATTCAGGCTCAATATTTATTTACTATCAAATTATATTAGGAGTAAAAAACCATTGAATATTAAAAGAAGTTGGCTTATAGTTTGTGAAATTATCCCCAAAGTGTTTTTATACTCCTAATGCGAACGTTTTAGAGTGAATCCACGTAGTTTCATTTGGTCACATTTATTTACTAGATATCCATTGTATTATTTAATACATACTTGTAGCATAATTTGTACTTTTATCATAATGAAATAAAAAAAGAATGTGATGGTTTGTATAGAACTAGGGTTTCCGGAGATAAGGGGAGGCCCAAAGCAGGTAGTTCCTATGTTTTATTGTTAATTCACCCCTTTAAAAACTCTTGAATTGGTTGACGATTTTTCCAGTCACTTTGATTTTCAAAAATCCATTTGTGGAAGACTCCTCTTTTCTTTTCTATTTCGTCTGGTCATGCCTTTCCTTCATTTCGTGTATTTTGAGTGTAAACTTGCTTTTCGTAATTATTTTTTTTAGATAATACATATATCCATTTGTTTTTGAAGTGAGACTGAAAAAGAAGAAAAACAATCCTTTTGAATTCTTTGTATCGTTGTGTCTGTATCAACAGCGTTTACGCCAGATAGAATATAAGGGTTTGTGTAAGGGTTTCAATGTATCACTTTTAAATATCTAGTTTTATGAACTATATTATCTGGCTGTATCATCATCATTATAAGGTCGTTCTAAGATTGGTTGGACACGCACCTCCACTCTTTCCTATCCTGAGCTAATCTTTATTTTATCTTGGAGAAGCTATCTAAAGCGGCCCTAATCGAGCTATACTTCTTGGCCCTGACCAAGAGATCTCCAACGTTCATCATCATCATAAGGTCGTCAGTACTAAGACTGGTTGGACACGCACCTCCACTCTTTCCTATCCTGAGCTAATCTTTATTTTATCTTGGAGAAGCTATCTAAAGCGGCCCTAATCGAGCTATACTTCTTGGCCCTGACCAAGAGATCTCCAACGTTCATCATCATCATAAGGTCGTCAGTACTAAGACTGGTTGGACACGCACCTCCACTCTTTCCTATCCTGAGCTAATCTTTATTTTATCTTGGAGAAGCTATCTAAAGCGGCCCTAATCGAGCTATACTTCTTGGCCCTGACCAAGAGATCTCCAACGTTCATCATCATCATAAGGTCGTCAGTACTAAGACTGGTTGGACACGCACCTCCACTCTTTCCTATCCTGAGCTAATCTTTATTTTATCTTGGAGAAGCTATCTAAAGCGGCCCTAATCGAGCTATACTTCTTGGCCCTGACCAAGAGATCTCCAACGTTCATCATCATCATAAGGTCGTCAGTACTAAGACTGGTTGGACACGCACCTCCACTCTTTCCTATCCTGAGCTAATCTTTATTTTATCTTGGAGAAGCTATCTAAAGCGGCCCTAATCGAGCTATACTTCTTGGCCCTGACCAAGAGATCTCCAACGTTCATCATCATCATAAGGTCGTCAGTACTAAGACTGGTTGGACACGCACCTCCACTCTTTCCTATCCTGAGCTAATCTTTATTTTATCTTGGAGAAGCTATCTAAAGCGGCCCTAATCGAGCTATACTTCTTGGCCCTGACCAAGAGATCTCCAACGTTCATCATCATCATAAGGTCGTCAGTACTAAGACTGGTTGGACACGCACCTCCACTCTTTCCTATCCTGAGCTAATCTTTATTTTATCTTGGAGAAGCNGGAAGTCCAGAGAAGGTTTAAAAGGTGAATAAATATGAAAGTTGTTAACTATCTTTCAGATTATTTTTATGTAGATTGATAAATCTTAAGTTTTGTCACAAATTAAATTTCTGAACGCGACCATAATATTTGACATTTGACAATCAACTATATGTAGTTTAGGTCTTTTATTAATCGATTGAGGCAGTACGAAGTCTGCCGGGTCAGCTAGTATATAGATATATGACTTTTTAAGTTTTGCAGCTTTTCTACAAAAAGCATTCAAATTTCATTTTAAGCTGCAGAATTGGTCTCCACGAAAAACATTTTTATTATAATAGAATAATGTACCGCTCATCTCCATCCTACAGGCTCATCCTAAGCATTGCTGAAAGAATTTTTGAAATTGAGTGAGTAGTTTTGGAGATTTTCTCTTATATCCATCCAAACCTGTAGTTGGGACTTTCAAAACAATTAATAAAATGTATGAATTTTTGAGTATTACATTATATTATTTGGATATTGAATAAACTGACAAAATTTCCTGGTCCTTTAAACGTCACGTCATACATTTTTCTTTTTAGCGATTAGGCTGAATTATTTATTAAAAAGTTACACTCCATTTATTCGTCATTGTGGGTATATTGAATTGACCCCATCCAAAGGTTTCGAAATTAGAAACTTTGATTTCTTTTGCTACGTATATTTCTACAAAATACTATTTTATTGTATTGTTATTATCCAATAAATAATCCGGACAATTTTTGATTGCATAAACAAAATGTATAAATTGAATTGGTATTTTATGAAAAATTGTTATGTAAACTTTAAACATTGATTAAGTAGAGCGAATAAAGAACTAATTGAACAGTTTAACGAAGTAGAAATTCATATGTAGATGTACACGTATTAATATGTAACCCTTACTTATTGATAGGTACGTGATTCAAATGTTAACTGCTTAATTTTGCATGTATCGGTATCCTTTATTTACAATGAATGTATTTGCATTAGGTATATTGCATTTATTCCGATATGACATTATCATAAAACTATTTACCACAGTTAATCGATAGTAAGTACGTAGCGTTTAGATGCAATATACCGTTATACTTTAATCATTATGGTTGTTAAAAATTATTTCCACCGCACCGGTTGGAAGAATATTAAATTTTCAATTTATGATAAAAATAAGCACACATTATAATGAAGAAACGCCTAAAGCCCTCTGGTTTTCTAAAATTATCACGTCGTGTTTTAGAAGGTAGTTTAAGTTTGGTACGTATTATTAGTTCGTTTTAACGACGGTTACTATCTTAAAAATGACGTTCGCAAACTAAAAGACCGAGGAGGTAACAAGATATCATGTATTGTAATTAACTCTTAATAAATATGTTACAAAGAACAATAAGTAGATCACCTTTTGAAAAATGAAAGGTTAGTTAGTAACATATCAGAAGCATAAATAGGATTAAAAGAGAGCAGTGGGTAGTGTAGAATATTAGACCACTTTTTGCAAATAGTTAGGGATATGGGATTTTCTAGTTTTTGAGAAATGCGTAGATTTGCTCAGGGTAGCCTAGAGGTTTATAAATAAAGAGGTATTAGAAATAATAGGAAGTCAATAAGAAGTAGGCGAGATAGATTGGCAGGATACCTTCTCAGGCATGAAGGGCTAGTCAGAAATATATTAGAATCAGAAACAGGAGGCAAGAGAAATATATGTAGACCTAGATTAGATTACTGCTGACAAATAGTTAAGGATGTGGGATTTTCTAGTTTTAGGTAAATGCGAAGATTAGCTCAGGATAGGAAAGAGTGGAGGCGCCCGATCGACCGGTGTCAGGAGATACTGATGATGTGATAATGATGATGATAAGGGAAGCAAACTCAATTTTTAGAGTACACGTTAAAATAATTAAAAACCGCATAGAGCATCAATTTGAGGTAGAAGAAAACCAGAGTGGATTCCGTGCTGGCAGATCATGCTCAGATAATCAATTCTGTTTAAAACAAGTATTGGAAGAAGGACTGGCCAGAAATATGGAGACTTACATGGTCTTTATAGACATAAAAATAGCTTGCGATGACGTTTCTCTAAGTAAATTGTGGCCTCCAACATCCGAGATTGGAATCAGCAATATTAAAGCTGTCAGAAACTTAAAATAAAGTAAAAATAGGTGGAAAATTGTCGGAAAATTTATTAAATACAAAGGGTTTACGTCAAGATTGTGCAATTCCTCCAACCCTGCTTAAAATACAATATGTGAATTCTGCACTAAGATGATGGAAAGGGACTTGCCAGAATACAGGCATATCAATTGGAGATAGCAAACTCTTACTTTACACTTTGTCGATGACCAAGTTATTTTTGCTGAAGATGAGGCCGATGTACATATTCTGTATAGCAAGAGAATTGGATGACACCTGTCACGATTAGGGATATTAACATTGAATCAAGAAGCTTGAGATGGTAATCATGTTAACCATCTGGATCACGACAGATGACTTCAGTGGATACCGTTACAAACGAGGAAAATAAGTCGTCCCAGGAGCACTTGGGCAGATAGTATAAAAACCGTTATGACGAGCAGAAACCTACAAGATGAAGATTTTTGGGCGATACCACTGCAGATGTAGTTTCTTAATCTCCAATATACCGGTAATTGTCCCTTCGTCATGTAGTTACATACAGGTATCTAACCGAACTCCTACCATTTGTTCACTATGGCATATGAAAAAGAAATAGAATGAGCTATTTCGCACCACTCGGTAATAAACATAAATATGAGGGTAATCACCTTACCAAAAGCCCCAACTGCTCCGGCACCAGTCCAATTGACTTGTCAGTGTACCAGCTGTTGCGAAGGTCACGAGTAGATATGAGTGCTTCGTCACTTGACGCTCGCGTTAACGACGGGTGATAAGATAACACGGCTGCCAAACTGGCAACTGTTCTCAATTACTGATTAGATGTAGTGTGCCTATATG